CAGATGACTTCGAGGCGCTGTGCAATGTCCTGCGCCCCCCCAGCTACGGCCCGGCCCGGCCCGGCCTGGGGCTGCCCTACGAATACGGCCCGGAGTTCATGCCCGGCTACGGGCTGCCCTACGGCCCCGAGCTGTTCGCCGGCTCCGCAGCACGGGGCCCCCAGCCCGGCTTGCGCCCCGACTACGACCCCTATGCCCTGGGGGGCTACGCCGGGCGCCGCGACTCGCTCTACAGCCCCCCCACCTACGAGGCCAGCGACTTTGAGGACCTGACCTACGTGGACGCCCGCCCGGAGGAGCCGCCCGCCCCCTACCGGCGCCCTGACCCCCCCCGCACCTACCGGCCCCGCAGCCCCCCGGACCCTGAGCCTGACCCCGCCTGGCACTACCCGCCCCACCCCGCCAGCCCCTTCCCCGAGCAGCCGGGCCAGGCCAGCGAGACCCACGCTGGTGAGTGTCGGGGGGAGGAGCACCGGGCATGGGGGGGTTATGGAGGGGGTGGGGTGGCAGACGCCGGGCGTGGGGGCACTGGGGGGAGGAGTGCCGGGCAAGGGGGGGCTGAGGGGAGGAGCAGACGCCGGTTTTGGGGGGCTGGGGGAGGGGTGCCGGGTAAGGGGGGTGGACTGGCGGGAGGAGCAGACGCCGGTTTTGGGGGGCTGGGGGAGGGGTGCCGGGTAAGGGGGGTGGACTGGCGGGAGGGGCAGACGCCGGGCATGGGGGGCTGCTCCAGGTCAGGCAGTGGCAGCCCCCCCAGAGGGCCCCCTTGGAGCAGGGGTGGGGGCAGGGTGCGCAGGGGCTCCAGCAGCAGCGGGGGGGCTGGCGCTGATGCCCCGGTGCCCCCCCAGAGCGATTCGAGGGGCTGCAGGCCGAGGAGTGCGGGGTCCTGAACGGCTGCGAGAACGGGCGCTGCGTCCGCGTGCCCAACGGCTTCACCTGCCGCTGCGACCCGGGCTTCCGGCTGGACACCGCCCACATGGCCTGCCTGGGTGAGCCCTGCCCCACGGCCAGTCCCCCTCCATTGCCCCATGGCCTGCCTGGGTGAGCCCTGCCCCACGGCCAGTCCCCCTCCATTGCCCCATGGCCTGCCTGGGTGAGACCCTGCCCAGCCCCATGGCCTGCCCTCTCCACAGGCCCATGGCCTGCCTGGGTGAGACCCTGCCCCACGGCCAGTCCCCCTCCATTGCCCCATGGCCTGCCTGGGTGAGACCCTGCCCAGCCCCATGGCCAGTCCCCCTCCACTGCCCCATGGCCTGCCTGGGTGAGCCCTG